ACGACTGCCGTTACTGCTACATTGTAACTTATAGACCGACGACAGCGGTAGCGCTACGACCGTCGTAACTGCTATACTGTAACATGGACTGACGACAGTGGTAGCGCTACGACTGTCGTAACGGCCATACTGTAACACAGAGACCGGACGACAGTGATATTATCTCTACGACCGTCGTTACTGCTATACTGTAACCTAGACTGACGACAGTGGTAGCGCTACGACCGTCGTTACCGCTATACTGTAAACATAAGACCGACGACAGTGATAGCTCTACGACCGTCGTTACCGCTATACCGTAACCCAGACTGACGACAGTGGTAGCGCTACGACCGCCGTTACTGCTATACTGTAACATAGACCGACGACAGTGCGATAGCGCTGTACGACTGCCGTTACTGCTATACTGTAACATAGACTGACGACCAGTGGTAGCGCTACGACTGTCGTAACTGCTACACAGCAACATAGACTGACGACAGTGGTAGCGCTTCGACTACCGTTACTGTTACACTGTAACATAGACTGACGATAGTGGTAGCACTACGACTGTCGTAAGTGCTACACAGTAACATAGACTGACGGCAGTGGTAGCGCTACGACTGTCGTTACTGCTACACTGTAACCTAGACTGACGACAGTGGTAGCGCTACGACTGTCGTTACTGCTACACTGTAACATAGACTGACGGCAGTGGTAGCGCTACGACTGTTGTAACTGCTATACTGTACCATAGACTGACGACAGGTATAACGCTACGACTGTCGTTACTGCTACATTGTAACATAGACTGACGACAGTGGTAGCGCTACGACTGTCGTAACTGCTACACTGTAACATAGACTGACGACAGTGGTAGCGCTACGGCTGCCGTAACTGCTACACTGTAACATAGACTGATGACAGTGGTAGCGCTACGACTGTCGTAACTGCAACACTGTAACATAGACTGACGACAGTGGTAGCGCTACGACTGTCGTAACTGCTATACTGTAACATAGACTGACGACAGTGATAGCGCTACGATTGCCGTTACTGCTATACTGTAACATAGACTGACGACAGTGGTAGAGCTACGACTGTCGTAACTGCTATACTGTAACATAGACTGACGACAGTGATAGCGCTACGACTGTCGTTACTGCTACACTGTAACATAGAATGTCGTAACTGCTACACAGTAACATAGACTGACGACAGTGGTAGCGCTACGACTGTCGTTACTGCTATACTGTAACTTAGACTGATTACAGTGGTAGCGCTACGACTGTCGTAACTGCTATACTGTAACATAGACTGACGACAGTGATAGCTCTACGACTGTCGTTACTGCTATACTGTAACCTAGACTGACGACAGTGGTAGCGCTACGACTGCCGTTACTGCTATACTGTAACATAGACTGACGACAGTGATAGCGCTACGACTGCCGTTACTGCTATACTGTAACATAGACTGACGACAGTGGTAGCGCTACGACTGTCGTAACTGCTACACAGTAACATAGACTGACGACAGTGGTAGCGCTACGACTACCGTTACTGTTACACTGTAACATAGACTGACGATAGTGGTAGCGCTACGACTGTCGTAACTGCTACACAGTAACATAGACTGACGGCAGTGGTAGCGCTACGACTTTCGTTACTGCTACACTGTAACCTAGACTGACGACAGTGGTAGCGCTACGACTGTCGTTACTGCTACACTGTAACATAGACTGACGGCAGTGGTAGCGCTACGACTGTTGTAACTGCTATACTGTACCATAGACTGACGACAGGTATAACGCTACGACTGTCGTTACTGCTACATTGTAACATAGACTGACGACAGTGGTAGCGCTACGACTGTCGTAACTGCTACACTGTAACATAGACTGACGACAGTGGTAGCGCTACGGCTGCCGTAACTGCTACACTGTAACATAGACTGATGACAGTGGTAGCGCTACGACTGTCGTAACTGCAACACTGTAACATAGACTGACGACAGTGGTAGCGCTACGACTGTCGTAACTGCTATACTGTAACATAGACTGACGACAGTGATAGCGCTACGATTGCCGTTACTGCTATACTGTAACATAGACTGACGACAGTGGTAGAGCTACGACTGTCGTAACTGCTATACTGTAACATAGACTGACGACAGTGATAGCGCTACGACTGTCGTTACTGCTACACTGTAACATAGACTGTCGTAACTGCTACACAGTAACATAGACTGACGACAGTGGTAGCGCTACGACTGTCGTTACTGCTATACTGTAACTTAGACTGATTACAGTGGTAGCGCTACGACTGTCGTAACTGCTATACTGTAACATAGACTGACGACAGTGGTAGCGCTATGACTGCCGTTACTGCTACACTGTAACATAGACTGACGACAGTGGTAGCGCTACGACTGTCGTAACTGCTATACTGTAACATAAACTGACGACAGTGGTAGCGCTACGACTGCCGTTACTGCTATACTGTAACATAGACTGACGACAGTGGTAGCGCTACGACTGTCGTAACTGCTATACTGTAACATAGACTGACGACAGTGATAGCGCTACCACTGTCGTTACTGCTACACTGTAACATAGACTGTCGTAACTGCTACACAGTAACATAGACTGACGACAGTGGTAGCGCTACGACTGTCGTTACTGCTATACTGCAACTTAGACTGATTACAGTGGTAGCGCTACGACTGTCGTAACTGCTATACTGTACCATAGACTGACGACAGTGGTGGCGCTATGACTGCCGTTACTGCTACACTGTAACATAGACTGACGACAGTGGTAGCGCTACGACTGTCGTAACTGCTATACTGTAACATAAACTGACGACAGTGGTTGCGCTACGACTGCCGTAACTGCTATACTGTAACATAGACTGACGACAGTGGTTGTGCTACGACTGTCGTTACTGCCATACTGTAATATAGACTGATGACAGTGGTAGCGCTACGACTGTCGGAACTGATACACTGTAACATAGACTGAAGATTGTGGTAGCACTACGACTGTCGTTACTGCTATACTGTAACATAGACTGACGACAGTGGTAGCGCTATGATAGCTTTTTGAAACGGGGTCCAGGGCCATACGCTATATTTAGCCCAAATGCGTATAACGGACAAGATACCTTGATATAATGAACTAACATTACTGGTCACTTTGAGTTCGTTATAAGCGTAGTTGCCGATAAGGGTGTGGAAATATAGCCTGTGTTACGTTTCTTAACTTCAGACGGATAGGTGAGACAGTAAGATAGTATAGTGGAACGTGTCGAAAATGTGATACCAGTATCTCGCTGATTAGTAGGACACCGAAACCACGAGACTCTAGACTGTCAATCGTCATTAACTGATATAGATACCGAGTTGCCTGACAAGGAAGGAGAAATATTAGAAAAACTACAATGAGATATCACCTTCCTGTCACACTTAGCAAATTTACAATAAATTAACATTTACCAACTGCTTTGATGTGTAATCATCGAAAGTAGTTGTCAAGTCCTTCCTCCTTTTTGACTTTCATGTATGGAGTTGATGCTTTAAAACAAACTGACAACATCTCCATGACAGGCTTATAGATCATAAATACCCAAACAAAACAAAATATGATAAACATAGTACACATCTGTATTATTTCTTGAAAATGTGTAATACGTAGTTTACTATGTTGCAAAATCAACATGCATCAGTCACAAAAATTATGTCAGATGTAACTCCCTATTTTGATTTGTACCATACATTCCTGTTTGGTTTTGTTCACGTGGGCAGGCAAAATTGGCCAACCTTTGCATACATTTATTACGGGTGCCCAAAAGGGGTAGCATGGCATGATCCCTTTTTTGCGAGCACCTTGTACCATCACTATTTAATAGTGATTCATAAACCTATCCCATGGCTCCAGTCACTGGATTGTCTGGTCTTGCCTCGATTATGTACACAATGCAATAAAACAGCTGTAATATTACTGAAATTGGCGTCAGAAAGAAAAGCAAGCGCATAGATGATGACAATAAATTCGGAACGGCCAATTCATTCTTGTTTTAGCAGAAGTTTCTTATTAATGTTGAAAGGCCTCTCCCTCTCACAAATGTCAAACCGAAGTGTCGACACCTGCAGACCGGCATCGATTCAAATGACAGTGTAGTGAGTGTTTTAATCATTCCCATCAGTAGCACGCTGCAAACACCAGACATGGGCTCCACACATTCTACCAATGGGGAGAACCGAACCCAGACCTTCAGCGTGCAAATGTGACGTTTTAAACCGCAATGCTACCCGTGTCCCCACTGTGACTGTAGATAAACCATCGGTATATGTATGGTTCAGCGTGATGGAGTAGCCTAATGGGTAAATTGTCCGCTTGTCACGCTTAAGACCCGGGTTCATTGCCCATATTATTACAATTTGTGAAGCCCATTTCTGGTGTCCCCCACCGTGATATTGCTCGAGTATTGCTAAAAGCTGCGACGAAATCACTCACTGATTCACTATGCATGATTCCAATATTGCTTGTGTTTGTGGCGTGGAGGAATACTAGAATTATTGGGTGGAATCATGACTTTGTGTCCCCAGCTCAGTCCCCAAAAGGTCAGAGTTGGAGTCTTGCATATTTAAAATTCATTCGTGTAGTATATTCTGACAAATTCGAGTCTCTCACTGTTTATCCAAGAAACCTATCATATCACATCAAATTCATCATCATCATCATCATCATCACCATCATCACCATCATAATCGAAGTCATCATCTAACAGTGTCGTGTCACTTGAATATAGTCCAAACGTGCTCAGTTCTATGTTCATGGCGGGAGAGTGGTGTTCTTGCTCCATCGCTGTAGGTAAAGCATCTAAGGCACCCAAACCACCACCCTCTACTCCCCACACGTGTACATCAGATGGTTCACCAGATGCGTCACCTGGAGGGGCAGATGCAGAATTCGTGTTGGAACACTGCATTTCAGAACCAGCTTTTAGAGTTCTCCTTTTCACCAGGACGCAGGTTAAGATGATGAGAGTTATGACAAATCCTGACACAAAGATGCCCGCAATCAGAAATGTTTGTAGATTTAAGATACCGTCCTTCTTCTCTCGTTCTGTTCTGACAGTCTCTTTGTTGCAGCTGCCTGCAAAGATAACATTAAATTTACCCACAGATGAACATATGGTCATCACATGCAATGTATCTTCCTATTGCCGGATATGAAATCATTACATAAGCTATGTTTGCCTACGACCCGTGAAGGTCCGAGTTAGAATATTGATCTTCAGTAACCCATGCTTGTCGTTAGAGGCGACTAACGGGATCGGGTGGTCAGGCTCGCTGACTTGGTTGACACATCTCATCGGTTCCCGATTGCGCAGATCGATGCTCATGCAGTTGATTATGTACAGACCACCGCCATATAGGTGGAATATTGTTGAGTGCGGCGTAAAACTAAACTCACTCACTCACCTGTTTGCCGATGGCTGAGCATGAAAGGATTAAATAAGTCTTGCTTGATGCAGATGAACATTGAATGATCAAACAAGCCTTTATAAGGGAGATTATATGAGCATGCTGAGATCACAAAGTTGGAGTGTTTTTCAGGGTAATTCGTGAATTTAAACCAACGTTAAGCGGATCCTTGCACTCCTAGGGGACATAAACACCCAGTAGTGGGCTATATAACCATTGCCACTTAATGAGGAAATATACTTCTACTGTGCACGCGACGCCAATATCCGTGAATGTTTATTAAAATTAATCATAGTTTCATTGGGGAAGTAATTGCTTAAAACACATAAAATTATTCATCCGGTGAATGCAGTAAACCTATTAATGTATCTAGGTTACTATCTGTGAGGTTTCATGTGAGCTTAATGCGGTAGAAAAACAAGATATACCGCAAGCCTGGGATGTTAAACTCTTCCGTACAACATGTGGTTGGTCGGTTTGTTGGTATGATGTTTTACGCCGCACTTAGCAATATTCCAGCTATATGGCGACGGGCTGTAAACAGTCAAACCTGGACCAGACAGTCCAGTGATCAACAACCTCAGCATCCATTTTCCGAAAGCTATGAATACACAACGCCATTCAGAAAGTGGACAAATGTAACATATGGTATATTTGGGATACACTTTCTCAGTAAAGTACAGATTCCAGTACTTTTGTTTGGTTAAGTCCCAACTGGGATTCGAACCCCCAACCACAGAGTAAGGTACCAAACCGCCAGCACACAAAGTCCGACGTCTAACCCACTCAGCCAGCGTGCTTCCAGAAACATGGAAGTCGGACTTGTACTTTACTGAGAAAGAGTAATCCGAAATATAACATGTTACATTTGATCCCGTTCTAAAAGGCATTACGTATTCCTGTTAGAAATTACTCCACAAACAATGTATCATTACTCACATGGAATAGTTCGAATGTATCCGCCACACGTGAAGACCAAGTTGGAAGGAGTGCTGGTGACTAAGATTTGAACGGTTATGTTTTTCGTCTCATGGACTGTTTCATTAGCAAGTTCGGTGTCAGAGCCTTCAGACACCAGCTTCAGATGGACCCGTTCTGAACAGTAATATCCAATGACGTGGGCCATAAGATCTCCCCCATCACAGCGAGAGGAAGAGTTCGCGGCGTATGTAAGGAAGCATGACGGCTCTTCTGCAACGAGATATTCCGATTTTTTAAATCAAATATAGTTGTTTTCATAATAAGTTTCATATTACGAGGGGCGGCGGGGAAGCCTTGTGGTTAAAGCGATTGTCCGTCAAGCCGAACACCCGGGTTCGATTCCTCACGTGGGTACAATGAGTAAAGCCCCTTCTGGTGTTTCACACCTTGATAACTGGAACATTGCTAAGAGTATACTGGCGGCGGCGGGGTAGCCTAGAGGTTAAAGCGTTTGTCCGTCAAAAAGAACACCCTGGTTCAATTCCTCACAATGTGTGAAGCCCAACTATGGTGTCTCCCGCCGAGATATTGCTGGAATATTGCTAAAATTAAATTCACTCACTCACTCTAACACTCACTCATTCACTCTAACGCTTACTAACTCTAACACTCACTCATTCGCTCCAACACGCTCTTCAACACTCACTCAAACACCTACTCTAACTCTCCAACGCTCACCCCAGCACTCACTTCAGCACTCACTGTAACGCTCTAACGCTCACTCATACTATCTAACACTATAACCATCACTCCCACTCTCAATATAACACTCACTCTAACACTTGAACTCTCACTCTAACACTTTAACTCTCTAACGCTCACTCTGCCACTCTAACACTCACTCTGACACTCACCCCAACACCCACTCAATCACCTCTGCCTGTTGATTACTACTAATGTTTCGTGATATGAACTTACTGACAACTGTGAGGTTACAGGGCGAGTTGTGACATCTCCACTCCCCTACATGTGCTGGTTGTACTGCAGGTATGGTGAGGAGGCTGTGTGTCTGGTTAATGGTAGACGCCATGTAGTCACCCACTGATGTACATGATGAACCTGGCACATTACAGATGGCAGCAACTTCACCCTGCGATGTTGTATATCCATATGACGTGACATCACTGGGTGAGATGCAGGTCAGGTTAGCAGGAGATCCAAGATACCCAACACTGGGACAGACCAGTTCAGACGCACCTGTTACAAATAAATGTGTTAACAATGAACGTGTGCACCATTCTCGTACTGATTTTAACACAATGAGACAAAATCATGATTAACATATCAATAGATAATTGAGTGTGTGGATATATCACCACTTTAATTAAAAAACTGCCGTTTGTATCAATATACATATTGCAAATCGATACAAGATATAACATATACTCGTGTGTATGATTATAACATTTGGTTAAATATTACCGTATAAATAATTAAATAAGCGTGAGGGTGGATACAACCATAGCCTTACAACCATCATGACGTATCAATGAGCATATACTCGTGTGTAAGATAATAACATTTGGTTCATATACTACCGTATAAATAATTACAAAACTCGTGATCGTGGATACAACCATAGCCTTACAACCATCATGACGTATCAATGAGCATATACTCGTGTGCAAGATAATAACATTTGGTTCATATACTACCGTATAAATAACTACAAAACTGGTGAGCGTGGATACAACCATAGCCTTACAACCACCATGAGGTATCAATGAGCATATACTTGTGTATATGAATATAACATCAAGTTGATATACTCCGTATAAATAATTAAATAAACGTGAGTGTGGATACACCGTTAGGTTGGTAAACAACATGCCGTTAACAGCATCATCAGCATATTCGTATAAATAAATACATCAACTATATAATCCTGTATGACTCAGTAAATAATCGCTTGTAAAGATATAATTTTAGCTTGACATGTGTATGAATGAAATATCATGTTGACATACTCCGTTTAAATCAACAAATACCCGCATGTTTGGATATAGCAACGATGGTGAAAATACCGCCTGGCGAAAGACTCAATATTGCATACTGACACAACACCAAGGTGCGATACCAGCTGATTTGTTATACAGAAAGAGAAGGTGAACATCCCCTTTCATTGTTATATACGTAGCTTCCCGTGAAGATCCGGATAAGAATTGGTCTTCAGCGAAGCATGCTTGTCATAAGAGGAGACTAATGGAATCGACTTGTTGACTTGGATGGCACACGTAATTGCATCCCATTTGCTTAGATCGATGCCCATGCTGTTGCTCGCTGGATCGTCAACACCATATAGCTGGAATACTGCTGAGTGCGGCGTTAACGACTCACAAGCAAAACAACAGCATCGGTACTTGAATAATCAATTTCAATTAATGAGCACATACTGTGATGCAATGTTTGGAGAAGAAGCAGCACCAGCGGATGCACTACACACCCGGCGATGGAGTCCATTGTCTGTATTACCGGGGTGGTCCTTGTGAGGAACTTGAGGAAGCAATCCCCATCTGAAATATTACGTTTACAGTTGATTCGAACTCGAATGCTGAGAAATGCTGTTCATAATGGAAGTTTGTGTTCACCAAGCGGTATTGTTCAATTCTGGACACAACCCGTGATTGTTTTAGGAGGTGACTTGATTGCAGCAATAGATCGATGTGCGTGACGTCTTAATCACCTTAGTGAGCCGCCATTGCATAGCTTGCATAATTATGAACATGGCGTTAAATACACAAACAAATACTCGTTCGGGATAGAAATGGTGAGTGAGAGTATAGTTTTACGCTGCTTTTAGCAATATTCCAGCAATATCATGGAGGGGGACACCAGAAATGGGCTTCACACATTGTACCCATGTGAGGAATCGAACCCGGGTTCTCGGCATGATGAGCGAACGCTTAACCACTAGGCTGCCCCACCGCTCCGGATATCAATGTAACATGAGAGATATTATATGAATGAAGCTATCCAGTATGTATGACATGACCTTCGTTAAGCGTCGACTTAAGTTTCCATTGAATAAATAGATGAACACCCACACATACATGCACGGACGCACATGCACACACACACACATGGACACACACGTGTGAATGTACAGCTGTTTGGTACAGGACTGATTAGTGAAAAGTCTGTCGTTACATGAGAAGACTTGAGACAAATGTATAAACTAAGCGTCATGTACCTACCTCTCTTACTGTCATACAATATCAGTAACTGAGAAGGGAAAGTCAAGATTTGTGGTTGACCAACTTTTGAATGTCATGAATACATCAAAAACATATTTCTTATTCCTTGTTTCATATATCTAAATGAGACGCAACATGTTATAGGGTCAGCTTTTCCTGCTATCAATTAATGATTAAGTAAACATTAATGTGGGATCCTCTCTGCGACAGCACTGAGTGAGTTAGTGAGCGGGTGAGTGAGCGGGTGAGTGAATGAGTGAGTGAGAGAAGTTTCAGCAAAACTCCAGCAATACCACGGCGTGGGACACCAGATATTGACCTATAGCATGTGAAGTCACCACGTCGTGGATATATGTATTTCAACTTAGTTTCTGTTTCATAAAAACAAAACTGTCGGGAAGAAGCACATTGAATTTGTTGAGGCTAGGTGAGGTGAAATTGGGTTTTACGTCGTGCTTGAGAATATTTCGCTCATATGACGACGTGCATGCGTGTGTATGTGTATGTGCGGCTGCTTGTACTAGCCCAGAATGAAGCTGGTTTTATAGTGCTAGCCCACTGAGATACCATGCCGCAGTGAAGCATGAATACCCCACTCAGACACATTATACTGACTCCGAGCCGACCAGTCCTTGTTGTACCCATCAATGCCGAGCGCCAGGCAGGGACCAACAATTACCATATTTTAACGTCTTTTGGTATGACGCGGTCGGGGGATCGAACCCGCGACCTTCCCCTCTCCGGGCGGACGCTCTAACCACTACACCACGGAGGCGGTCTTAAATTTTTAAACGGACATGAATTATGTTAAGTGATTTAACTGGTTCGGGAGCCGTACAGCCTGAGCAACAAATATATAACTAATGTTTTACATTGTCTTTGTTAAAATTGAATGGAAGTAAAACTTTGGGTCTGTCCGTTTATCTGTCTATCTGCCTGCCTGTCTGTCTGTGTCCCTGCTTGCCTGTCTGTCTGCATGTCTGTCTGTCTGTCTGCTAAGAGGCACATTCTTTCCCCTTCAAATTAATTTCTGACTTTTGTGTTGCTGTTTGTTGGTTACTCTTAAAAGAGAAACTCAACATGGGTGAAAAGCATGCTATCAGATTATTTGGCAGACTCAAGTAACAAAGACAATCAAGTTAATGAGCAAACGTGGACGCCACAACGGTAGGAAGCAAGCCCGATTCCCATAATCGTGACCGTAATCGACATGTGCCGTTTCCTGCTGGATGTCTAATGGATGAATGGTATGCTTGCAAGCATCTCAATCACCACTCAGACTTGATTAATGCTGATATTGTTTTTTAAACACGTACACTAATGCCTTACTTTCATCACGCCAGCGTTTCCAGTAGAACATCATGATCAAGCACAAGAAATACTGTGAACATTTGTCATGAGTTTTGCCATTGCTCAGGTAAGTGTAATGCTCTACTCTCTAGTTTCACTCGTACGTTGTTTACAGTGAGTGCATGTGGTTTTACGCCGCTTTCAACAATATCCCAGCAATATCATGGCAGGGCACACCTGCAATGAGTGAGTGAGTTTAGTTTAACGCCGCACTATAAGGCGGCCTGAAATGAGCTTCACACATTGTACCCATGTGGGGAATCGAACTCGGGTCTCCGCCGTTACGATCTTCTTAATCGCCATTTACGACAAGCATGCGGGTTAGAATTGGTCTTTTGCTTGTCATAAGAGGAGACTAATGGCATTATTTGAAATGTAATATTTTATTGCATACTGTGTATACTGTGTATAGAAGGTGTAGGGATCCAGAATCAATATGACAGCTGTTCCCATGCGGACGTGTAGACATGTACAAGGTGAGTCACGTGTCAGTTTACTTCTTTCAAACGTTTCTATTTGTACATTAATTATGACAATATGAAACATTATCTAAGTATTGGAAGAGCTACTGAATGTGCAATGTATAGTATATGTGATTAAATGTACACATTTCCTTTATAAACCGCATCGAGTGTGGTATCGTCAGTCCTGTATATCACAGACATACCAGCAGCTGACGTCTTGAGTGTGTTTAAGAAGTCGATATCACACGAAAACACAAATCCTGAAGCCGGAGGAGAGATACATTCATAAATCAGTGTTTTGTTGTTTAAGTTATGTGTACAACAAATACGAACGAACTATGGCTGATTGGTCTCTAGTATAGTGATCAACCTTCAGTTGCTGGCGATCTATATTTTGTTTATATAGTACTGTTGTTTAGCTTGCTGTATGTCTGTGGTTACCCAATAGAAATTCTGTCACAAGTAGTATAGGGGCCTTTATAGGGTCAAAATCTATTTTTAGAATAGGCCCCTGGTAACAGGTTATATTTAGACCATGAGTCATGTCAACACCAGCTGTTTCTATTTTTAGAAGAGTCTATATTTAGACCATGACTCATATCAACATCTGGTGTTTCTATTTTTAGAATAATATAAAGTCCCCTGAACAGCCCTCATACACAGCTCAGCCACTACACCTAGTGATTTCACACATTGTGGATATACCAGAGTGCATTTCTCATTGGATTACTAAACAACCTTGGAGTATACTGTGTGATTCACTGGGTTTATATTTTCAATAGCTCAGCCTCTCAACTACACATCTGTGGAGTAATTACACATTGTGGATATTTCTCACTGGATTACAAAACATCTTTGCATTATACACTGGAGTGACTACACATTATACTACCAGTGTATTTCTCTTTTATCTCAAAGCGAGCGCCCGTTATCGCAGTATCAATTCCCGTCTGACTAACTATAACTATTAAAAATGTGAAATTCAAATGTATACAACGTCCTACCTTCAGTCCATATCTTGTAACACAGAATACATCGTAACACAGATTAAGATTTACATCATCATCAGATTGAACGAGTGTTGGGGATAAAGTGTACATGAAGTCAACTTACCTCTGTTCATCATATCCATATGAATGACATCAGGGAATAACACATCCATAGGTACTAATTCATGATGTTTAGAGGGGTTGGAACAAGTAACCCATTCATGTGAAGAAACAGATTGATTCATACTGTACTCCAACAATGAATGACTCATTTGCCCACCCGTAAGTCCGACCTACAGCCATTCAAAGCTATGTTTACGGGAAGGGAATCCCCTCTCCCACCCAAGCATGAGGATTAAGAAAACAAGCGTATAATGGAGTGAAAAATAAATAACTTCAAATACATGTTACCGAGTGTCCACGTTAATACTTTCTTTTAATTTGCGACAGCCTCCGAGTGAGGTGTGTCATGTTCATTCTACCATAACATTGCCTCTCCCTACGTTCAATGAACCGAGAAGCATGACGGCCTTCACGCCCATTGAAGAAACCAGGTCATAGACCGCGTCCCCCGCCGCCAATTTGAAAAAAAAATGATAAATAAATAGATTTAAACAAATAACAAAGTCCTAGCCATGCCCGCCGATGAAAAAAACTGAGTAAAATGTTGAAACTCAAAGCGAAATCACACACAGCATGCTTCTCACCAAAGTATCCCATGTAGATCCCATGAACTTACTTTAAAATCCCACATAATCATATGAATAAATACAGCCCGATACAGAATACAACCTATAGAAAGTTGATTACACATGACTCACATATGCCATGAGCCTACTTTAAAAAACCTCACACACAATCACATGAATAAACACAGCCCGATACACACACAGGTTACGACCGATAGAAAGTTGACATGACTCCCATATGCCACGAATCTTTAAATCCCAACACAATAAACACAGTCCAATCATAATCAGAACCTTTCCCTAGATTCATCGTTTTTTCTAAACTATAGCTTGCATACAACCAATGTTAGTATGTACATGTACTCGCATTGTTAACATGTGTACTCACGATACTGTCGTCAACAACATTATTCACACAATACGTTCATACGCAAAAATACTCACAAATTAGAATAGAGAATGATCCTTCACATAAATTCCACACCTACTGTGCTGTTTAAACGGTCATGAAACCGCCAGAATACCTAAACACGCACAGCACAACATACCGGCTGCACATGGCAGTGAACAAAGAGCATTTAAGCTTGGCGCCAACAGCCCCTGCCTAAAACCGGTTCTGTCAAACTGGATCGCAAAAAGGGTCTATCAAACCGGTTCGCAAACGGTTCTGACTCAAAATGGCTACATGTCCAAACCGGCTACATGTCCAAAACGGCTTTGTAGACGAAAAATGGCTTTACAACACTAGTGTAATAGCTTATGTATTTATAAACCGTTTATATATATGTATATATTCATTACAGATCATTAAAATTGTTGTTGTATTCAATACAATGAACTGTAACAGTTGCTATCTTCAATACCATGAACTGAAACAGTGGTTATCTTGTATTCAATCAACCGGAATGACGATTAAACTGAAACTTGTATGTCTGATACTAGTATGAGGAGGTTAAGAATATGTGGATTCGGTGAAATACGGTTGAAATTGGTATTATAAAAACCACCAAGAATTGTACAACAGTTGTCTTATGTCAATCCTCCAGCAATACATTCAGTGAGTCTAGTACACTCTCAGCAGCGCCATGGCGGTGGTCTGTACATAATGTTTATCTTTTAACCCAGAGGTACAATACATTAAGAAACAAGAGAGATATACAGATTTCATTGTTTATTAGCTCCGTTTCAAATGAGTAGACATTAGGATAGGAGCTCTCCCAAATGCCTACTTTACATCTGTTGTCTTATTACCCTTCATCATCCACCTGTCCTTCACTCTCTTCATCAGATGTTATGTCTTCATCTTCGGTCATGCCTTCGACCCAAGACTTATATTGGTACAATTTTGAAATCACTTCATGATACATATTATTTGTGTCTTTTACTCGTTTCAGTATTCCTTGTGTCTTTGGTCCATCCTGCATATGGTACAGATAAGTAATAAATCGGGCATACGTCTCTTTAAACGTGTTCCAGATCAATTTGTTCAGTTTGGCTTGAATCATGTCTTCGTTTAAACCTCTTTTTATGTACAGCTGTCGTTTCTCATCCAAAAAGCCTTTATTCAGCTCACGCGTACGTGAATACATTTGTCTTATACCTTGCTCTTCGAGATCAACCATCTTATTTTTCCTGTTGTGTGTGACATCGCTTAATGATTCAACATCATCATCGTCCTCATTTTCCATTTCAGGACATTGTTTATCGTGTAAATGTCTTTGTAAGTTATGGTTAGTGCTAAACACTTGACCACAATAGTCACAGTCCACCAGAGGACGTGGTCTCTTCACAGGTGAGAAGTTGTTGTCTTCCTCCCACTGCCTTTTCACTTGGGGTATCCCAGGAGGACCCACTGAAGACTTTTCGGGACACCAGTTTCTTCTGTGTTTTTGCAAATCTTGCACATCTTGAAACACGAGTCCACAGGCATCACAAGATGGCATGGTTGAGAGGTTTTCTTCACACGTCTGCTCACGCTGAACATCTAACTCGGACTGAATTGTCCTAGCTTGGAGGTGTCCTTTTAAACTGAATGCATTGGGACAAAGTCGCCTATGGGGAGGTGTTTGGGGTTTTAGATCAACCAACAAGTAGCCATAAGGCTTCTGGGTAGCCCTTTGAAACGGCTCCATGAAATGGTCTGTGTTACCTGGATACATTTGCCTCGCCAAAGTCATGATGGGTTGTTGATCGATAGGGTTGTTGAACAGAAGCAGATAATGACAGTTTCTTCGTTGTGTGGGATCCTTACTGAAATACAAATTCTGGTTCAAGGCGATCACTGAGAGATTACGATGATGACTTCCTTCCGTAAACAGATCTGTAATGCGTGGATCTTTGCTGGCAGTAGACATTAAGTCATCGAGGATAACCACGTTCACCACACAGGGGTCCAGAAATGCATCCTTTTCGAGATCAGAAGGAATGCCTTGATGAAATTCCACATAGGGATAAACATGGGTTTGAATGGCATTATACAAGGGCTGCCATCGTTTGTAGAGCCATATAATACGTTCAGGATAAGGTTTAATGTTCATCCTTTCTAGAATCTGTTTCACTAAGTAGGTTTTCCCACAGGAGGTTGGCCCTGAGACGATCATGGTGAAGGGGTGAATCAGTCTACATTCTTCCAATGACTGGGTAATACTTTCTGATGAATGTGGTTGTTGCTGCTGCTGCTGCTGCTGCTGTAGTGGTGGTGGTGGTGGTGGTGGTGGTGGTGGTGATGGTGGTGACGGCTGCTGCTGCTGCTGCTGCTGCTTCTGCTGCTTGATATCTTTTGGATGTTTTGTTCGAATATGACGGGACAAGTCATGAGCCCAAACATATTGTTTGGAGCATATGGGACAGGGATGCATAATGATGTTCACACGTCAACAGTCCTACTACAAATGATACATTTAGCCTTTCGTCTCTATTTAAAAATATGTTTTCATTCGCTTTGTGTTTTCCCTATTGATGGCACTTTCCCTTTCTCTCTTCAACCTGGCTTTAGCTTGTTCAACCACTTGTTGAGTAGGGGTAACGAAATTAATCTTAGGTTGCTCTGTGGTTTCTGGTTTTTGTTTGTCTTTCTTCCACTCTGGATCATACAGTTCCAAATATCGATCGACAGACAACATGGCAGATTTTTCTCCTCCACGTGTTATAGAATGATAAGGGTCTCCTTTCCCTTCAGCCCTGAGCATGTAAAATCGTGTCCATTTTTCGGCATCGGGTACGAAGAGTTTGTATCGTGGATTATTCATGATGAAAATGGGAGCAGTCTGAGGTGATGCGTCACTGTCACTGGTCCACGGATAAATGAAGCTAGATAACCCTTGTGGCCTGTTATATAGATATCTTCATTGACCTTGGGCTTGGTATAGCTTTCAACATCGCTGCCAGGATGGTTCGGATGCACTACTATGACAAACTAAACCGGGTGTACCAAACATACTAACCCAATGCTCTGTCAAACAACCAGGCATTTTGAATGGCCTCATCTCTAAGTGCATTGACAAACTGTGGTTTCAAAACAAATGCTACGATTGGCATGTTACTGGCAAAAAAGAGTCTTCCATCCACTGTCTGTCGTCCACAGGGGGTGAACTAATCTTCGTAACACCACTAGATAGTTATTTCTATCATTTTTCCTCAGGAAACGACGCCTTTTCATATCGAGTCACTGGTAATCTTCCCTTTAATAACCTATTGATAATACCATTGATGGCAAGAATCTGTTCTCTGTTCATTTCTAAGATGTCTTGTCGAATCTCCTCAATGTCTTGAAACATTAACATGAACCTTAAAAATTCGTAATGCTTCAACACGTACCTAGCCATACTATTTCTAGCAAACAAACTCTTATCGTGGTTGGGATCTCAGTGAGATTAGTATTGAGTCAACCTCTATTTATACTATACATAGACAACCAAGGCAGACATACTCTTAACATTGATTTATTTCCAACAGTCACACATTATACATCACACTCTTGTTTGCAAATCCACATGACTACCCCAACGGGTCACCTCTTTCTGAGGTACTCCCACCAGGGCCAAATACGGACAATGTGGAGACCATTTTTCATGTTCGGCCCAGGGATCATCATCTACTTCCCAGTTCTTGAGAATGAGACCACATTGAAAACACTTGCAAACGTCCCCTCTGATTAAGTACACAAATCCTGCTTGAGCCATGTGACCAGGACTCTGTTTCATCTGCACTGGCCAGTCTTTAAACGAATCGAGTCTTTCTGGAATGAAGTCCATTCAGTCTTGATTGCACAGCAATCGAGTGTCTTGTCGAATGGGTAATGTCCACACACATCCATGATATCCCAGACCAATGGCAACACGTCCGCACAGTACAGCGTCTAAACCAAGAATAGCTTTAAACCCAGTAACTGTAGTCACTAGGGTTGCAAAAGGAACACTGGTAGTATAATGTGTAATCACTAGGTGTAGTGTCTGAAACTGTGTATGAAGACTGTTCGGGGGACTTTATATTATTCTAAAAATAGACACACCAGGTGTTCACATGAGTCATGGTCTAAATATAGATTTTGACCCTATAAAGCCCCATAGCTAAAAATAGATTTTGACCCTATAAAGGCCCCTATACTACTGTCACATCTAGTGAATTTACTGTCTTTCTTTGACAGATTTTTAATTTATCTAAATTGGCCTTTATTAATGAATATCTTTTTGTAGTCACAATATGAAATACTGTCGATGTGACTTTAGATCATAACTCACCCACTCATGAAATCTGATAAAAGTACCATATAAAACAGATAGCTGAATACAAATACATTTCATATATTTGTTATTGAAGTACACTTTTCTCTCGTCACGATATAGCTGAAATACTGCCGATGTGACTATAAAATTTTAACTCACACAACTTGTGAAAAATGGTTTGAAGTTGTTTGAGACTTGTATATGTTTGATGTTTTAGCAACCATATTAGAGTATACTCTTCTAGCTTAATCGCCGTATACATGTGCTATTCGTAATATCATGATCACTTTGCTTGCAGATCGTTCATCTGGATGAAGATGCCCTGAGTATGCATATGCAGCGGCAGATCCTGCTCCTGTTGCTGTTGATACAATCAGGTTGTGGTACGTAAGTAAATGTTTTTGTAAAGAAAAGAGGTGATGGGGTAGCCTAATCTTAAAAGCGTCGGCTCGTCACGCTGAAGACCGGGTTCGATACCCTACATGGGGTCAATGTATGCGGCCCATTTCTGGTGTCCCTCGCCGTGATAATGCTGGAATATTGCCAAAAGCGGCTTAAAATAATATTCACTCACTGACTGATAAATAGCTCGTTTTTTCTCTCGTTCGACTTGATTACACAAACCTGTCTGTGCGTTCATTTCTAATTCGTATTTTCCAAATGTGTCTACCCGTTCTCAGGGAGCCAATGTTTGAATCTGCCGGTGTAAACCATGCAATTTATAGAATGGTAATTTTTAGTTCACCTATTGTAGACACCACCTGTTCTCGTTGTTAAATTTAATTATAAGGATTTACTGCGTACTTTGAGAAGTATGTATGAACCCACTAACCGAAAAAAGTACGCGGTCATTCCTTGAACGCATACAGAGGCGATTGGTTGAATAAACGATCGATTGGTTGACTGAATAAATATGGCACAAATGTCACCTCAAGATACACCCACAGCTTGTCATTTGTAATGCCCCCCTCCCCACAGCATTTAGCAGACCAAACTCCCAGTGTAACATTGTGTTGGGCACAATATGATCTTTCACGAATAGACCCTTGAAGATTCGGGTTAGAATTGATTTTCAGTAACCCGTGCTTGTGGTAAGGGCAGACTAATGGGATCGGGTGGTCAGACTCGCTGACTTGGTCGACACATGTCATCGTATCCCAGTTGTATAGATCGATGCTCATGCTGATCTCTGGATTTTTCTGGACCGGACTCGATGATAATCAGACCGCCACCATATTGGTTGAATATTGATGAGTGCGGCGTAAAACTAAACTCACTCACTGATTGATTGCATACATGTCTTACAGGTACGTCCGATCTCACCTGCCCAGATCAGATTGAAGTAGGTTCTGAAGCAGCCATCACTTGTGTTGCACCTGACACAACAGACAAGCATGGCTACTCTACGCCAAACAGGGAAGTTGCTGCTATCTGTGAGTTACAAGCCTCAGCATGTCAGCCCCTCGCCCACTACACAGCAGCAGTTGTCAATGACACCTGTAGCGTTCTGACCATTCCTAGAGTGAAAATATCTGATGCTGGAGACTGGCGATGTACAGTTCCACCATCGCCCATGCTAACTTGTCACATGGTTGTCTACAGTAAGTATCACTGGTAACGCATTGGCAGTTTTGTTTTGTTTTGTTTAACAGCGCACTCAGCAGTCATTGGACTATATGACGGCGGACCCTAAATAATCGAGTCTGGACCAGACAATCTGGTGATTTACACCATGTTTTGTTTTGTTTAACAGCGCACTCAGCAGTCATTCGACGGCGGACTCTAAATAATCGAGACTGGACGAGACAATCTGGTGATTTACACCATGTTTTGTTTTGTTTAACGGTGCACTCGGCAGTCATTCGTCTATACGACGGCAGGATGTAAGCAATCGACTTTACATATACAATTTACATATGTTTTTTTAGTAAACGGTAAACATTATCTCGTCACAATATGCCTGTCATATTGCCGGTGTGATGTTGAATTGTCTCTCACACTGTCAAGCACTCACCCACCGACTTACGGTAATGTGTGTATCTTTGTTTGTAGAACTCCCTTCGTGCACTGTAATGCGGGATGATATGCATCAAACAAATCTGAGTGGTTTCTACAACTCGGAAGTCGAACTCTTGCAGGCATTCTTGCGTCACGACGTAGCTGAAATATTGCTGGTGCGACGCTAAATGATAGCTGTCAAGTACTCCCTGACTCCCCGTTATGTGTGTATCTCTGTTTGTAGAACTCCCTTCATGCGGTGTGATCAGTGATGTAGTGCATCAGACAACCGAAGTGAATCTGAGTGGCCTACTTCCAGACATTGTTGTGTCACGGTGTAGCTGAAATATTGCTGGCGTGACGCTAAATGATAGCTGTCAAGTACTCCCTGACTCCCCGTTATGTGTGTATCTAGATCTGTTTGTAGAACTCCCTTCATGCGTTGTGATCCGTGATGTAGTGCATCAGACAACGGAAGTAAATCTGAGTGGCCTACTTCCAGGCATTCTTGCGCCACGGTGTAGCTGGAATATTGCTGGTGTGACGCTAAATGATAGCTGTCAAGTACTCCCTGACTCCCCGTTATGTGTGTATCTATGTTTGTAGAACTCCCTTCATGCGTTGTGATCCGTGATTTAGTGCATCAGACAACGGAAGTAAATCTGAGTGGCCTACTTGCAGGCATTGTTGCGCCACGGTGTAGCTGGAATATTGCTGGCTTGACGCTAAATGATAGCTGTCAAGTACTCCGCGTTATGTGTGTATCTATGTTTGTAGAACTCCCTTCATGCGTTGTGATCCGTGATGTAGTGCATCAGACAACGGAAGTAAATCTGAGTGGCCTACTTCCAGGCATTCTTGCGCCACGGTGTAGCTGGAATATTGCTGGTGTGACGCTAAATGATAGCTGTCAAGTACTCCCTGACTCCCCGTTATGTGTGTATCTATGTTTGTAGAACTCCCTTCATGCGTTGTGATCCGTGATGTAGTGCATCAGACAACGAAAGTGAATCTGAGTGGCCTACTTCCAGACATTGTTGTGTCACGGTGTAGCTGGAATATTGCTGGTGTGACGCTAAATGATAGCTGTCAAGTACTCCCTGACTCCCCGTTATGTGTGTATCTATGTTTGTAGAACTCCCTTCATGCGTTGTGATCCGTGATTTAGTGCATCAGACAACAGAAGTAAATCTGAGTGGCCTACTTGCAGGCATTGTTGTGTCACGGTGTAGCTGGAATATTGCTGGCTTGACGCTAAATGATAGCTGTCAAGTACTCCGCGTTATGTGAGTATCTATGTTTGTAGAACTACCTTCATGCGTTGTGATCCGTGATGTAGTGCATCAGACAACGGAAGTAAATCTGAGTGGCCTACTTCCAGGCATTCTTGCGCCACGGTGTAGCTGAAATATTGCTGGTGTGACGCTAAATGATAGCTGTCAAGTACTCCCTGACTCCCCGTTATGTGTGTATCTATGTTTGTAGAACTCCCTTCATGCGTTGTGATCCGTGATGTAGTGCATCAGACAACGAAAGTGAATCTGAGTGGCCTACTTCCAGACATTGTTGTGTCACGGTGTAGCTGGAATATTGCTGGTGTGACGCTAAATGATAGCTGTCAAGTACTCCCTGACTCCCCGTTATGTGTGTATCTATGTTTGTAGAACTCCCTTCATGCGTTGTGATCCGTGATGTAGTGCATCAGACAACGGAAGTAAATCTGAGTGGCCTACTTCCAGGCATTCTTGCGCCACGGTGTAGCTGGAATATTGCCGGTGTGACGCTAAATGATAGCTGTCAAGTACTCCCTGACTCCCCGTTATGTGTGTATCTATGTTTGTAGAACTCCCTTCATGCATTGTGATCAGTGATGTAGTGCATGAGACAACCGAAGTGAATCTGAGTGGCCTACTTCCAGGCATTGTTGTGTCACGACGTAGCTGGAATATTGCTGGTGGGACATTAGTTGTCGCTCGTTCACTGACCAACTCACTCACTAACTGTAATTTGCGTGTATTGTTGTTTGCAGGATTCCATTCATGCGTTGTGATAAGTGATGATATGAACCAGACAACCAAAGTGAACCTGAGTGGTTTCTACTGCTCGGAAGTCGTACTGTTTCAGGCATCCTTGCGTCACGATATGGATAAAATATTGTCGGTGTGACGCTAAATTGTCGCTAACTCACCCACTGGCTCCCCGTAATTTGTGTGAACTGTTGTTGTAGGACTCACTTCGTGCATTGTTATCGGTGATGTAGTGCATCAGACAACGAAAGTAAATCTGCGTTGATTCTATTGTTCGGAAGTCGAACTCTTGCAGTTATTATTTCGCCACGATCCGGCTGAAATATTGCTGGTGTCATGCTACGTTCTTGCTCACTCAAACTGACTCACCGTAATGTGCATATCTCTGTTTTCAGAACTCCCTTCATGCGTTGTGATCAGCAACGGAATGGATCAAACAACCCAAGTAAACCTTACTGGCTTCTACTGCTCGCAAGGTTTACACTTCCAGGTTGTGGGTTCTGTGTGTAAAGGTTTGACTTTACCTGTCACAAGTATCACAGATGGAAGCTTTAACTGCACTGCTACACAACTTGGGTCAACTGATACAGTCAATGTGACATTTACATGCGGCAAGGTTGGCAGGAGTCTGAAATGCGAGGAAGTTAATCGTGAGTTGACAATTTTTATGTATTAATGGAACAGAAGATGCATAGGAACAGAAGGAACAGGGGTCTATCATGTCAGGTTGTGATCTGTTTGTCTTTTAATTTGATATAACTACCGTGTCATGGGTGAGGTGAGGTGAGCTGAGGTGAAGCAGGCTGGGGTTTGGGGTGAGTTTGGATGAAGTGGGCAGGGTGAGGTGGGGAGCATTGTGTTGTTGGTGAGGTGGGGTGGGATGAAGTGGTGTTATTTAGGTGAAGGGAGATGGATGAATAGGTACAAAATGATTGATATTAGAGTGACATCACCTTCCTTAGCCGGATTTGCTGTAAACAATATTCTTTACCCGGTGTATGCATCGTATCAGCTTCAAAAATGAAACAAGAAAGAATGCACCACCTCGTACGAGAATGGCAAATGCTTTCGCTTGATCATGACACATTAATGCAGTTGCAAAATGTGAAACAAGCCTTATCTTGTGGGCATGCAGTATCTTCATGATCTGTACACATTTATCGGTTTATCACATTTATCGATCTCATATAACTCAATGATACTGTTTCAGACACTTTGACTGGTGTTCGTCAAGACACCACTACAGCCCTGCCTGGGGAAAGGGAACGGCCAGGTCATACCTCAACTGGCATTGCACTTCCTGTAATTATTTGTATAATAATTTTAATAATCATAATAATCACAATGGTGGTGTTGTATAGAAATAGACACGGTTTCCAATGCTTTGGGAAACAATCAACACACAGTGCCGTTGACCCAGGGTATAAGAGTGTAGAGAAGAGCAAGCCCGTTTCACTGTAGTGGAGATACCTTTTGTGTTAAATGTAAAAACAATGAAACAATGCAAAAGCGGACAGGAAAATGAAGGCAGCTATATTCAAAGGTTAATGTAATGTCTTCGGTCTTCAACAAGTATCATGAAGGGAGCTATATTCAAAGGTTAATGTAATGTCTTCGGTCTTCAACAAGTATCATGAAGGGAGCTATATTCAAAGGTTAATGTAATGTCTTCGGTCTTCAACAAGTATCATGAAGGGAGCTATATTCAAAGGTTAATGTAATGTCTTCGGTCTTCAACAAGTATCATGAAGGGGCTATATTCAAAGGTTAATGTAATTTCTTCGGTCTTCAACAAGTATCATGAAGGGGCTATATTCAAAGGTTAATGTAATTTCTTCGGTCTTCAACAAGTGTCTTGCGTATCAGGTTTGTTTGTTAGTTTGTTGTTCAACGCCGGGACTTAGCAGTATTGCAGCTATATGGCGGCGGTCTGTAAATAATCGAGTCTGGATCAGAAAATCCAGTGATGAACAATATCAGCACCGACTGTCTATCAGGACTGAAATGAATAAGGATGAGTTCCAAGTCGTTTGAATACATCCTTCAGTAATAACGTTGTTCCTGGTGCATTTCACAGTTTCACAGTTTTTTAGAATGGATCAGTGGAGAACTTCGGATGCTTTTTCGAACTATGTGCATGACGGAGGCAAAGTTGCGATTCATCAAACGAAGAGCAAGCTACAGTTTAAAAATCACATTTGGAAAGTGAGACGATAATTTACAAAGGTTGCACAAATGACATCATTATGTGAATATATCATTAAGTAAAGACTTATTGGTGAATCTCAATCATAATCCATACCAGCGTCATGGGAATGCTTGTATACACATGCAGACTGTGAGCATAGGCATAGTTTGGACTCAACATTTATTGTTGAAAACCACAAAAGTTAAAAAACACAGTTTAATATCATTTTAACAGTTTTCTTGATGGTCTAAAAATATGACGAGAGCGTACAACGTTTGGTTTGCTTCAGAAATGATATGATCGTGTGAATATATCAATCAGTCATCCAATTGTTGTTTGTGTGTTTCCCGTGTTTTCAGCATACACGTGGTGCCATTCCTTTCTATATAGCTTCTCAGAGCCATTGCAATGAATGATATTTGCTCTGGTGGATACCCGGGACAGCTTTTTCATTCGCATTGTCGTTGCATGTTATATTTAATGTATAAAGGGATCATCACAAGCATTTTTCATGTTATTTTATGTTTGATTTGGACCTGTCGATATGGGGAATTGCAAGAAAGTGCAATAGCTGCATTCTTATTATCTTCACCTAAACACTTTCCCCTTTTAGGTAAAATAACACTGTTGTTAAATCTTACGTTGACATATATACACTTATTCTTTGACAAAACAATGTACAACATGGGAACAAATGTAATGCAACTAACTACCTACACTTTCTTCCCATGGTCGAAATGAAGAATATTCGTCGCTCCGTTGTTTGCTGATATATCAGTTCATGTGCCTCTTTTCTCTATGACTATTGTGATATCAGTGTGCTACACACATGAATTTAAGTCAAATGCTTATGCAATAGATTGGTGTGCTACAAACATGTATTTAAGTCAAAGGCTTATGCTATAGATTGGTGTGATACAAACATGTATTTAAGTCAAATGCTTATGCTATAGATTGGTGTGCTACAAACATGTATTTAAGTCAAATGCTTATGCTATAGACTGGTGTGATACAAACATGTATTTAAGTCAAATGCTTATGCTATAGATTTGTGTGGTACAAACATGTATTTAAGTCAAATGCTTATGCTATAGATTGGTGTGCTACAAACATGTATTTAAGTCAAATGCTTATGCTATAGATTGGTGTGCTACAAACATGTATTTAAGTCAAATGCTTATGCTATAGACTGGTGTGATACAAACATGTATTTAAGTCAAATGCTTATGCTATATAGATTTGTGTGGTACAAACATGTATTTAAGTCAAAGGGTTATGCTATAGATTGGTGTGCTACACACATGTATTTACTTCAAAGGCAAATGTTATAGATTAATGTGCTACACACATGTATTTGCGTCAAAGGTTTATGCTATAGATTCATTTTTATTACCCATTCTGTAATGAAACCGAGAAATCAGTTCTGTAATTTATGAACTCAAAGCCGCACCTCGTTATGTGTTTACAACGTAATCAACTGATCCGTATTAATGTTCAGAGGAAACCAAACAGCTCATGTGTAATGGAATCGAATGCGAACCCCAATATAGTACTGTAGAAAACGGTATGAAAAACTACACAATTCATCAGTTTCCAAATTTGTTCATGACGATTTTATTACCCACACCCCTTGTAAAGAGTAAGTTTATTTTTAACGAGTACAATAGCATATTTAAAATTTAGTCGTAGATCGCAAATGTGTAGCCTAGATCTACTCGTGACAGAAAGTGGGTGGCTGTGGTTGGTAACAAAACAGCAAAAACCTGTCAATTGTTTTGAACGTTAACTGATACAACAGTGAAAATCTGCAAGAGAACAATAAAACGCAGGAATGGTGACCTTTTTTCTAAGAAGACGGTTAAAAATTATTAGCGTTTGTCAAAATTTTGACTGTGACCTACTTTTGGCTCTCGTGCGTCCTTGTCAGGAACGATAACTCTGACTTTAGTCCGAGTCCGAGTCGACGACAGGCAAATATGCCTTTTTGGTGCAGATGGTTGGTTGAAAGAAGAATCATTTAAAATAGTGAAGTTGAATACTCCACCGTAAATTGGACCAGAAAAAGAGTATGAACAGCATGGATATAATGGGAAACTGAATTCATCTGGGACATGACTGATGGGACTGATTCGACTGAGGCTTTGGTGCATTTTGTAGGCAAGGGAGAGACAGGCCTGTGTCACGTGGTGTGGAATCACAGTTCGACGACAGAAGTCTGTTGATGTTTTGGTGTTGTTTTTATTAATTATGGAATAACTGTTGATGGATTGAACGTTTTGTGCCCCGACACTTGCATGATCTGGTGAGCTGGAACACCTTTGTCAGACAAAGTTTGAATCATACGTTTCCTGGCGCTATGGTTTGTCAACCGTTTGTCATTAGAAAGCCCTGCTTTACTTGCCATTGTTTTCATCAGTGATCCCAGTTTATTTCTGCCAACTGGTTGACGTTTAAACCAAGTATTTCCGGTTCGTACCCCAAACTGGGTGTTTGTTGCCAAATAGAATGGATGATCATCGTTCGAGAAGTTTAGTGGTCTCAAGTCACGAGACGACTTGTAAACAGCGACTGAACAACACAGATCCCCAGGTTGTGCCCATGCTTTAGGAGCAAGATCGCGAGACTGGTCACCCTGACGGGTTTTAACTGCCGTTCAATATACTGGAGATATTCTCGGTTCTCTGAATCAACTTTTAGTGTTACATCACCCCATTGCATACGCCTGTTCGGGGTCGCCGATTTCAAGCCAAAATATACCGTGTTGTTCCACCACAATGTATTTAAAATGGAGCCTGGCGTGCTAGTGCCAAGTTGGCCACATTCACGGAGTTTCTGTAATTCAGTGTCGGATACAGGATGAGCACGGAATGGTAGGTTTCCTTTATCTTGTTTTTAATGACTTGAGTTTTGATTTCAAAACCTCCCTGTTTCATGAAATGCATAGACTCGGCTAACACATGTGAGAACCCTTTAAGCTTCAAATGGCGTTCAACGCTACCCTTTATTCCCCGGAGGGAAGACGGTTCATACTCCGAACCATCAGATTTTCTTGCCGATATGAAAAATTACATAGGCATAGGCGGATCAGAAATTTTCAAAGGTGTGTGTGTGTGTGTGTGTGTGTGTGTGTTTGTGTGTTTGTGAACCATCAAGATTTAGTCATTTTCAAAAGTGGGGTGGGGATTTGACCCCTGATAAATTGGATCCGCCACTGCATAGGACAGTGTTCAGTTCATGGGGGCAATGTCTTCAAGTTGTCTTGGATCATTAAGACACTCGCGGAGAAATCTATAAACAAGATTCATGTCCAATTTTGTCTTTTTTATTTGTTTTCGTTTTCGTTTGCAGCCAAGAAGTTATCAATGTCATGGTCAAAAACAGGAACAAACCTGTCAAAAAATTGTTTTCTATTTGGGGGTAAAGAAAATCATCCTGTAGCAAGTCATTTATGACACTCTGGGGCAGGTGGGGACTTTGGTGAGAAGCCGACTCGCTCGAGATTGTTTCCGGCAACACTTTCAGTCTGTACCTTGCAACTTCCATTTCTCCATATACCGTGTTTATCACATACACGTGAAAGGAATTTAGTGGTTGTGATATTCTTGTTACGACAAGTGATGTCTCCGTCCAATGTCTTTGATTTGCGTTAACTGGGTCGACATGTATGTTTACAAAAGACGATTTTATCAATTTTAGACATTTTTTTATATTACAAAACATGTTAAGTAGACGACGCTATATTGTTAATGAAGTGTGAAATAAAACATTAAATTAGCATCAAAATCGTAATCCTGTATGTTGTTTTTGTTCTGTTTTTAAATCTCGAATAAGTGCGATTACATCACGGTCAATTTATCAATGAATCCATGAAATTTTATGAATGAACGTAGTGTGTGAAAGTAGTTCCGGCATCAAATGAAAATGTACAAATATACGATCAACCAATCAACGTCGAAAATCACTAAATTGCACACTGTGCAACTATCAAAAAGATATTACACGGGATCTCCTCACCCGTATGGGTAATAATTAGACAATAACCAACGAGGTACAATTGATTACGGGAAATATGCCTGAGTTGAAATAATGTTCACAGTGCCGAGCCTTGGCGAGGCCTGAACACTATTTAACGAGGGCATATTATCGTAATCACTCGTACCGAGTTGGTTATTCTATTTATTACCCATAATGTAATTTTAAAAGAAGAACCACGAAATAAAAACACCCGGAGACAGGATTTGTGACCTCAAACAGCTGATTCGTATTTCTACGCATATTAAACTCCAGCGGTAATAACATAACTACGCTATGGAAAATAGTACCACATAAAAAATCGCTTTAAAATACAACAAAAATGTATTTTTTATAGGCATTTAGAAGTTGGTAGGGTTATACAACACACTTGATATGGATGTGCACCTTCTTTATTATTTACACACGACGTTTCTGGGCTAATACTTGCCCCTTCATCAGGTGAATGACAGTGAGTAGTTACAAAAGTATATATAGTATGTACAGGAAGCCACAAAGTTGTTTTTACAAGCGTATATATAATATGTACAGGAAGCCACAGAGTTGTTTTTACAACGGTATATATAGTATGTACATGAAGTACACAGAGTTGTTATTACTACAGATTGGTGAGGGGATTAAGTTAAATAGGGTATACATACTGTTTACATGGAGTGAATGACCACAGATGGAAGCCAGTAGCGGATATACAGTGATAGAGATTAGGTGATTGAGATGTACAATAATATAAACTAGGCGATGGGATGTAGAGCATGTTTTGGTAAACACCATTGTTGGAGGGAAATTTGTTAATGCACCAAGCATTGGGAAGGAAGACACCCTGGTCCCTATTCAACTCCGCTTTGGAACGTTGGATGTGGATAGCTTCCATTAATTTTCGTTTACGCCAATTACTAATTTTGACGGCTAAGATTTCTGTGTGTTGCTAGTTGATGGTATGGTCAGGATTCTTAACTAAGTGTTCAGAAAGAGCTGATTTTAAGTCTGATTTGTTGACAGATGTTTTGTGCTGTTTTATCCGAGTGGCAATAGGTCTGCCTGTCTCACTAATGTAAGTGTCACCTAAGTTACATTCCAATTTGTAGACACATCCTGTTGGGCTAAGAGTGATGTTCCAGCTGCCTTTGCCATTGGCTTTTACTAAGGCTTTCAGTGTTCTACCGGATGAAAATGTGGTGTCAATTCTGGCAGTTTTCTTCAGTAGTCTGCTGATTTGATGGCTGATGGATCCCACATAGGGGATGTTAATAAGGATGGGGGATGGTTCAGGCTTGGGTCA